TCTGCCTGCTAATGCAGGGGACACGGGTTTGAGCCCTGGTCTGGGAGGATCCCACATGCCGCGGAGCAACTGGGCCCGTGAGCCACAACTACTGAGCCTGAGCTCTAGAGCCTGTGCTCCGCAACAAGAGAGGCCGCGATAGTGAGAGGCCTGCGCACCGTGATGAAGGGTGGCCCCTGCTTGCCACAACTAGAGAAAGCCCTCGCACAGAAACAAAGACCCAACACAGCAAAAATAAATAAATTAATTAATAAACTCCTACCCCCAACATCTTGAAAAAAAAAAAGTGTTGTGAATATCATAAACAAATTTATTAAAAAAATAAAATTCTATCAGGCATTTTCAAATTGATAGAATTTTAAAGAATGGTTTTGTATATATAGGGCATCTACATGCAGGATATTCACATAATTTTTGTAACTGAAGGTCATCATTAAGTTTTCAGTACTGTACTAGTAAACTTTGGTTTACTAGTTTGGTTTACAGTAATTTATCCTGTAGCTATTCTCTCCACTCTGTCAATATTACTTCAGGAAGGCAAAGTAAACAACATTAATTATTCTCCTTAAGACTGAATTCAGGGCTTCCCTGGTGGCGCAGTGGTTAAGGATCTGCCTGCCAATGCAGGGGACACAGGTTCGAGCCCTGGTCCGGGAAGATCCCACATGCTGCGGAGCAACTGAGGCCACGCGCCTAGAGCCCGTGCTCCGCAACAAGACAAGCCACCACAATGAGAAGCCCGTGCACTGCAACAAAGAGTAGCCCCAGCTTGCCACAACTAAAGCAAGCTCACGCACAACAAGGAAGACCCAATGCAGCCAAAAGTAAATAAATAAATTTAAAAAAAAAAAGACTGAATTCAGAAAACCTATTTTGGAATGCAGGCCATAACATCCATTTCTAGCTACCAAATGTAGTATAGGAAAGTGCACCAGATTATCCCTTAACTGCTACATTTCCTATTGAACCAATTTCACAAAAAATGAATAAATCAACTCATAAATTGCAGTATCAAAAATGTTTCCATTATATCACCAACCCAATAAATTGGAGTCTTTGGGAAATATTAATTGATAAGGTAAAGATCCTTCCCTGAATGATATTAAAAGTTTTAATCCCTCCCCCCACCAAAGCTTCTTAGCATCACACCATGACTAGGCCATCTATGTTCCATGGGCTAAGAAAAGCTTTTTTCCTTCTCCTGAGAACTTGACTGTTGGTTAAGTTCTGCTCCTCTTATAAACCAAAAACTGGATGTCAACTCAATCACTAGGCCACAGAGCTCATGTTATCAATAACATCTTACTGACGAACTAAATCTGGATTGAGAAAAAAAAAAAAAAAGACACTGAGAACAGTGTTGGCACATTGTGATGATATACGTGTCAGCTATTTTACCCACTGCAACGTAAGCTTCACAAAAGCAAGGATTTTAGTCTGCCTTGTTTACTAAATTCCCATGCCTAAAATCATGTCTGGCACACAGTAGGTGCACAATAAGTATCTGTCGAATGAATAAGAATTATTTTGCTGTTAGAATAAGAGAAACAGAAGAGACACTATCTAAGAGAAAGAAAAAAACCAGAGAACTAAATGTCTTGCTCCTCCCCTCCTTTGCTTTTCCAAGAGATGTCCTGCCCTACAGACTTTCTTTTAATTGTACTGAGAGTCAGAACATCAGCATTCACTGAGAAATATTTTCAGAAACAGCTGTATGAAAGCCTTTGTTGTCTAGTTGGCCCTCTGCATCCTCAGATAGAAAATATTCAGAAAAAAAAATCCAGAAAGTCCCAAAAAGCGAAATTTGAATTTGCCATACACAGGCAACTATTCACATAGCATTTACATTGTATTAGGTATTATAAGTAATCTATGGATGATTTAAATGAAGTACACGGGAGGATGTGCATAGGTGGTATGCAAATACTATTCTATTTTATATAAGGGACTTGAGCCTTCTTGGATTTTGGTATCGGCAGAGGTTCTGGGAGCAATCCCCAGAGAGACCAAGGGATGACCATATTTGTTTTCAAGGTTAGGAGAAGACTGCCTATTTATAACCTTGATACTCAAACTGTGGTCCTCTGACCAGCAGCATCAACTTGGCCTCTGTAAAAATGGTGAATCAGGTAAATCACTAGGTAAACATCATGCATATTAAAATTTGAGAAGTACAGTTCTAGATCACTCTAGTTAAGGGCATAGGCTTTACAAGAATCAGAGTTCAAATCTAGACTCTGACACATTATTATCTATATGACTTGGGCAAGCTTATAACCTTCCAAATTCCTTCATCTGTAAAACTGAAATAATAATAGTAGTACCTCAAAGAGCTGCTAATCCTTTTATTAAGAGGATTAAATAAAAATGCACATGAAGCATTTGGTAGGCTGCAAAAAAGCAGGACAGGCCCAATAAATGTTAGTTGCTGTTATTGTTGAAATTCCCCCCAACATAAGGCCCCCAACAGTGAAATTTTAGAATTAAATACAAGAAAGAGCTTTACTTTATTGAGGAAATAGTTTGTTTTTCTTTCTAATTTAAACTATACAATGACACCCCCCCTTCAAAATCAGTGTAAAATTTAAGTTCACTTAATAGGAATAATTGCCTCTTAAATTTCTATTGCCTTGACCTCTTTGGTCTTGATTTAAATACATTGGAAAAGAAGCAAACACAGGAATGAATGACCAAATGAATATTAAGTCTAAACTCAGAACTAATCCTTAGGGATGCTACTAAAAAAATCTGGAAAATTTAGTAACATTATATAGTAAACTTGAAATTTGCTAAGAAAGTAAATCTTAATGGTTCTCATCACAAGAAAAAGTTTTTTGTAACTTTGTATGGAGACAGATAATTACTAAATTTATTGTGGTGATCATTTCACAAGGCATACAATGTCAAATCATTATGTTGTACCCCTGAAATGAATAATAATGTTATATGTCAATTATACTTCAATGTAAAAACATCTTAAAATTCAATAGTGGGTTTACAGTACTTTAAAATTAACTTTTACTGATGTAGGCTACAAACTGAATTTTAAGATATAGAAAAGAATTTTTCAAATCAGAAATATGGCTTATGATTAAGACCACCAAAGATATTTGAAATCATATAAACACTGGTCAAAGGAGGACAGTAAACAGGATTTTTGCTAAAAGCAATGCTTAATATGTACGAACATTATAGCCTACATTAAAAGGCATAATTACTTGTTTTTATACAATGCTTGCAGCTAGGGGATGACTTTATGGTTAATTCCCTCAAAGCAGCGAATAAGGTAAAAATATATTGCTTTCAGATTCTAATCAAAACAGTAAAGGAAAACTAACAGTAGAGGAAGAAAGCATAATAAGGAGAGCAAATTCTCTCCCCTGTCATTAAAAGGTATGTTATCAACAAAAAGTATTAACTAAAATGATGTTAGACAAAATTTCAGTTGGTTTCTCTGCTTCTAGAAAAGTTAGGACTTGGTTCTGTCCTTCTGAAGAGGTTACGATTTGATCTGGTCAGTTAAGCATATTAGGAAGCTCAATCAGGAAATCAAGTTTAATAATTATAATTCTTGGAGACTTAAGGATTTGCTAAGGGCAACCCAAAACAAAACAAAGAAAACCAATCCACACCACACACACACAAACAACTGAAGAATTGGCAAAGAACTTGAATAGATATTTTTCCAGAGAAGATATACAAATGACTAAGTACATGAAAAGGTGTTCAACATCATTATAGTCATTATGAAACGGCAAATCAAAACCACAGATAGGGCTTCCCTGGTGATGCAGTGGTTGAGAGTCCGCCTGCCGATGCAGGGGATACGGGTTTGTGCCCCGGTCCGGGAAGATCCCACATGCCGCGGAGCGGCTGGGCCCGTGAGCTATGGCCGCTGACCCTGCATGTCCGGAGCCTGTGCTCCGCAACGAGAGAGGCCACAGCAGTGAGAGGCCCGTGTACTGCAAAAAAACCACCACAGATACCACCTCACATCCATTAGAATGGCTATTATTTTAAAACAAAGAAAAGAAAAGGAAGTGACAAGTGATGTGTACCTTGTGAAAAAACTGGAACCCTTATGCATTATTGGTAGGAATGTAAAATGGTGCAGTGGCTGTAGAAAATGGTATGGCAGAGGCTCAAAAAATTAAAAACAGAACTATCATCAGATCCAGTAATTCTACTTCAGGTATATACCCCAAAGAAGTGAAAGCAGGTATCTATACACCCACTTTCATAGCAGCACTATTCTCAATAGAAAAACGGTAGAAGAAACCCAAGCATCCAGTGACAGATGAATACATAAAATGTGGTAGATACACACAATGGAATATTAGCCTTAAAAAGGAAAAATTCTGATACTTGGACAATATGGATGAACACTGAAGACATTAAGCTCAATGAAAATGAGACGGTCACAAATGGACAAATACTACCATGATTTCTCTGAAGTAAGGTTCCTAGAGTTAATCAAATTCATAGAGAAAGAAAGTAGAATGATGGATGCCTGGGGCTGAGGGGAGGAGGAAAGGGGAATTAGTGTTTAATGAGTACACAGTTTCAGTTGGGGAAGGTAAGTCTGGAGATGAATGGTGGTGACAATTGCACAACACAAATGAACTTAATGCCATAGAACTGTACACTTAAAAATGGTTAAAATGATAAAATTTTGCTATGTATATTTTACCACAATAATTTTTAAAAAGTTCACTAATATTTTGTACTCTTAAATTAGTAACAGATATTATGTTTTGATGATATGAACATTTTTTATTTAAATTTTTTAAATGTTCAATATAAAAGACCAAAGTCCTCAATGGTTTTTTGCCGCTGTTTCTTTTTTTTTTTTTTCATTAAATAAAAGGAAAATGTACCTCCTTTTACAGGAAGGGTTAAAAATTTTCAAATTGAGGGAATTTCAATTTATATAGCTGGGAAGAGGAGTAGAAAAGAGAAGAAATTACAAAACAAAGCAAAACAAAACACACAAAAAAAACCTTGTTTAGGTGTTTCTTCCTCCTTTTTAGTCTCCTCATCCTCTAAGCTGGGACTTTCCCGGGAAGAGTTGTCCTGTTGGCTAGAGTTTTTCAATAGTACAGGATCAATTTGTGCTTTCAGGAGCGCAAGAGTCTCAGCCAACTCGTTTCGATTTCTAAAAAAGTGGGAAAAAAAAAAAAGACAGCATAAAAATCTTTCTTGTTTTCTAAGACCTGTGTTGCCAGGGGTTAGGGGGGAGGGTCAGAGAATTGGGAGCCTGGGGTTAGCAGATGCAAACTAGTATATATAAGATGGATAAACAACAAGGTCCTATTGTATAGCACACGGGACTATATTTAATATCCTGTGATAAACCATAATGGAAAAGAATATGAAAAAGAATATGTATAACGGAGTCACCTTGCTGTACAGCAGAAATTAACACAACACTGCAAATCAACTATACTTCAATAAAATTTAAAAAATCTTTCTTCTGTTCTAAAGAGATTTCAGAATATATCTATTAGAAATTAAAATTGAAAAAAGAAAAACATATTAAGAACATCAAAAAACACTAGTACAGGACTTCCCTGGTGGCACAGTGGTTCAGAGTCCACCTGCCGATGCAGGGGACACGGGTTTGTGCCCCGGTCCGGGAAGATCCCACATGCCGCGGAGCGGCTGGGCCCGTGAGCCATGGCCTCTGAGCCTGCGCTCCACAACGGGAGAGGCCACAACAGTGAGAGGGCCGCATACCACACACACACACACAAAAAACACACAAAAAAACACACTAGTACAGCTAACCCTAATTAACCTTAAATTTTAAAATTAAGTATTAGGAATGAATACATATTAAAATAAACTCTTCCCCAAAGAGGGGAATAGTCTTAAGACTATTCTATTGATTTGAATAGCAATGCAAATCTCTTTGGTTAAAAAGAACAATAGGAACAAAAATTAAACAAAAAGCTAAGTTGGATAATTATTTTTAAATACTATGCAATGTCTAGGGAGTACAAAATCAATGGAAAACTTCCTTGAAGAAGAATTTTTTTTAAACTAAATGATTCAAGTTTTTGATTCATATGGGAATAAGAACTCTTTTCCACCTACAGAGAGAATAATATTTGAAACTGCTAAGGAAGTCTACTAACACAGTTCAAAAACCCAAAATTTTAAGTTATGGATGCTGCTTTGTCAATTAGAGTTTACAACTACAGGAAGGGAATTCATTTTGAATAAAAATTACAAGAAAATCCCAAATAAATAAGATACCAATCTACAAATTATCTGTTTTTTCTACCAAATCCGCAGGTGTAGTATGGTCAATTTTAATGCCACTTACAAACAAGAAAACTAATTTAAATATTTTCCTGATCAGATAAACAGGGTGTAACAGTGAATACAAAAAGGAAACCCTGGACTAAGAGTTGAGAAACTTAGTTCTAGATCTGCTACTAAGTTAATTAAACAGCACCATGATCTTCCCATCTGTGTCATCAAAGCACTGTGCATGCACCTCTAATTCTATGTAGTTAGTATTAAGATGAAACTACTTGTTTTCTTATCTGTCATGCCACATATGTCCTCTATCCTGTTTCCACCTCTGTGCTAGCTGCCTTATGAAGTAGGCTCTAAAAAAATGTTTAATGAATGAATAGAATCCCTGTTCCTAAACTAAATGGCGATGTACCCCTGGACAGGTCATCTATCTTCACTAGCCCTGAGTTTCCTTACCTATAAAAGACTAGATTCTCTCAAGTATTATTAAATTGGCTTCCAAAGAAAGTAATAAAATTGCCAGTGATTGACATCTTTCAGAAATTAAAATGACAACCATTTTGTCATTGTGTATGACAATGAACACAGGTTTATACATATTAAAAATATTGTGCATGGAAATGAATACATGTTTATATATAACTATCACATTAGCATATACAATAAAATGAATAGTTTTAGGATTTTAATTACCTAATAGTAGAAGGTCAGATTAGATGCACTTTCAAGATCATGTCTGGTACTACATCCACTTTACAAAAAAGGAAAATTAAAACCTAGATATGTTAAATAAATTAATTTTTGGCTAAGTTTCTATCTCTGAATTTCAGTAGACCAACCTGATTCTAACCTAAGCCTCTATCCACTTAATGTTATTACTATGATATTTCACTGAGAATTCTATTTGTTATTTTTTGAGGTCATGCTGGGAACTGCATGACCTCAACCCATTTGTTATTTTTTGAGGTCATGCTGGGAACTGAAAAAAATATTGAAGTATTTCACTATACCTATTTTTAAAAGCTGCTGAACATTACAAGAGTGCCAATATTGCTAGAAAATCCATGTCAATTACTTCCACTACTCTAAGCAACAAAAAAATTTAGCAGAAAAATTAATTAAGAACTCCCCTAAAGGCTTTTAACCTGACTACAGTATTAAAATGCAAACCTAAAATAGCCATTATATGAAAACAGAAAACTACCCATCTGGATTTCTCCTGTTTCAATCTTACAATTAGATTTAGTATGCTAAGTAATTTTTAAAAAACCCTAAATTAGAACTAGAGGGTATTTTAATAAATATACATATATTAAAATTATATCCAAATTTCTTACAGGACCTTTTATTTTTAGTACGATTTTTAAAGGTTACTTTCCATTTACAGTTATTACAAAATATTGGCTATACTCCCCATTGTTGTACAATACATTCTTGAGTTTATCTTACACCCAACAGTCTGTACCTCCCCCTCCCACTGGTAAACACTAGTTTGTTCTCTATATCTGTGAGTCTGCCTATATTTTGTTTTATTCACTAGTTTGTTGTATTTTTTAGATTCCACACGTTAGTGATATCATAAAGTATTTGCATTTCTCTGTCTGACTTATTTCACTTAGCATAATGCCCTCCAAGTTCATCCATGTTACTGCAAATGGCAAAATTTCTTTCAAGACTGAGTAGTATTCCATTGTGCGTATATGTGTATGTGTGTTTGTGTATATAAATATATGTAAACCACAACAGATTCATGTATGTTAATTTTGTTTCCTGCAACTTTTCCAAATTCACTGCTGAACTCCAGTAGTTTTCTGGTAGCGTCTTTAGGATTTTCTATGTACAGCACCATGTCATCTGCAAACAGTGGCAGTTTAAGGCAGTTTCCTCCTTTCCAATTTGTATTTTTTAATTTCTTTTTCTTCTCTGATTGATGTGGCTAGGACTTCCAAAATTATGTTGAATCAAAGTGGTGAGAGTGGGGATCTTTGTCTTGTTCCCGATCTTAGAGGAAATACTTATATAGCTTTTCACCATAGAGTATGATGTTAGCTGTGCGTTTGTCATATACAGCCTTTATGATGTTGAGGTACGTTCCTTCTATGCCCACTTTCTGGAGTGTTTTTATCATAAGTGGACGTTGAATTTTATCAAAAGCTTTCTGCATCTATTGAGATGATTATATGGTTTTCATTCTTCAATTTGTTAATGTGGTATATATCACGCTGATTTGCAGATATTGAGAAATCCTTGCATCCCTGAGATCAATCCCATTTGATCACAGTGTATGATCCTTTCAACGTTCTGAGATTTTTTTTTTGGCTGCGCCACATGGCATATGAAATCTTATTAGTTCCCTGACCAGAGATCGAACCTGCACCCCCAGCAGTGTAAGTGTGGAGTCTTAACCACTGGGCCAGAGAAGTCCCCTTTTAATGTATTACTGGATTTGGTTTGCTAGTATTTGGTTGAGGATTTTTGCATCTTTGTTCATCAGTGATATTGGCCTGTAATTTTCTTTTTTTATGATATCTTTGTCTGGTTTTCATATCAGGGTGATGTTGGCCTCATAGAATGAGTGTGGAAGTGTTCCTTCCTCTGCAATGTTTTGGAATAGTTTCAGAAGGATAGGTGTTAACACTTCTCTAAAGGTTTGGTAAAATTCATAACTGACCCACTTTGCTGTACAGCAGAAATTAACACAACACTGTAAATCAACTATACTCCAATAAAAAAAATTAATTAAAACCAAAAAAAAAAAAAAAAAAAAAGGGGGGGGTTTGTAGAATTCTCCTGTGAAGCCATCTGGTCCTCTACAGGACCTTTTATTTTTTTAAATAAATTTGTGGGGTTAAAAAAAAATATTTATTTATTTGCTTGTGTCGGGTCTTAGTTGTGGCAGTCAGGCTCCTTAGTTGTGGCATGTGCACTCTTAGTTGCGGCATGCATGTGGGATCTAATTCCCAGACCAGGGATTGAACCCAGGCCCCCTGCATTGGGAGCATGGAGTCTTAACCACTGTGCCACCAGGGAGGTCCCTACAGGACCTTTTAAAATAGACTGTGGATTCTAACAACAGTTCAGTTGTTTTGCCCTCCCTCTCTCCATTGTTTTCTTTTCTTTAAAACATTTCTTCACTGAAGCATATTAAATCAGATATATTCCTCCAAAATGCCATGTTCTCTTATGATCTCAGGTGTTTACATTTCTGTTCTCTTCAGTCCAAAGTGCATTTCAGACTAACTCCAATCATTATTTCAAAGACAAACACAGAATGGATAAACGTGGTATATCCATACAAGGGGGAATATTATTTAGCCATAAAAAGGAATGGAGTACCGATTCTTACTACATAGATGAACCTTGAAAATATTATGCTATCTGAAAGAAGCCAGACACGAAGGCCACATATTGTATGATTCTATGTATATACAGTGTCTAGAAAGGCAACTTAGGGAAACATAAACTAGACTGGCAGCTGCCATGGGCTGGGGAAAGGGAAAATGGTGAGTAAATGCTAATGCACAGGGTATGGGGTTTCTTTGTGGGGTGAGGAAAATGCCCTGGAGTTAGATAGTGGTGATAGCTTCACAACTTTGAGAATATACTAAAAATCACTAAATTGTATTTTTTAAAAGTGATGGTGACTTGGACAAGAATGTAGTTATGAAAGGAATGAGGAACACTTAAACACTGGATCCATTTTGCATAGAGAGCTGACTGGATTTGCTGCAAGAATGGATGGGAAGTGAGAGAAAAAGAAAAGTTAATGATGTGCCTCCCAAGTTTTGGATCCAAGTAAACATGGATGTTCTTAACTGTGATGGGAGAAACATATTGAAGTGGAAAGGCTGGAAGCTCAAGTTATGGGCAGACTGACTGATGTTGACTTAA